CGATTGGACCGTACATGCGAGCGTTGCTCTATCGCAATGTCAAAATCATGAAATGAAAAGGATTTTTGGTTTTACTCTAGGAAAAATAATCCTCTACGACGAAACATCCGGTAAGGAACTGCAGCTTATTACTTACGATGGGGTCCAAAACATGATAGTCAGGAGCACTATATGCCTGCATAAAAGGATTAAACAGGTAACATATCTATCCTAAGACACCTAATCGATTAGTTGTGATAGAAGGAAAGCCAGCTTCTAATAATTTGGACACACGTACGCTCGGAGCACCAAACATTTGCACTAAGTGACGTAAGGAAAGCTCAATGTCGAAAAGCTGCAATCGCAACATACGTCCAGCAAATTCGCCACTCGACTATCATGCCTGCTCTCCGAGAGAAGGACTGGTTCGATGAGGAATGTCACGCCGCATCAGAGAAAAAAGATGCTGCCCACAGCCAGCCTAAGATTGGATGCAATGCGAACTGTGCGAGATCTATATTGCGAGCTGAAGAGGGAAGCGATATTTTTTTTTTCGTAATATAAGAACTGTTTATTAAAACGAGAGAGGCCAAAATGCGGGAATGAGAAGGGCCTGCAATGCTAGAAGATATGGAAAACGTTCGAAAATTTATTCGAAATTTAGGGGACCTGCCAGCTGATCTATGGAGCACTATGGTCGGATGAACGCATACCAGACGATTGGAACTTAATTATGATCTCCGTCATATGCGTCAACTACCGCGATATAAGCCTCATAAATGTCGTATTCATGGTCTTATCTATTATCACTATTATCCAAAACTTGGAAAATACCATACGAGAGGAAGATCGACACTACCCATTCCTCAGTCGATTTAAGAGCCGCAGCATGAAAAAGAGTATAGAGTCAGGCTTCAAATCCAACGCAGAATTCCCCTTGCCAGCAAGTGCTACTTTCGACTGAGTAGGCAAACTTTATAAAACGCTCATCATGACCGCGCCGGTATATGGCGCAAAAGCATGAACAAAGACAAAATTTGATAAGGCGGCACTTGAAATATTCGAGAGAAAGATTTTGGCATACTGTAGCGTATTAAAATATAGCGACTCCACTGGTTCGGCCATGTTGTTCTAATAGACAGAAACCAAAATCGCTTAGGCGGGTATAGTGCCAAACAAGAAGCAGAAGAAGTGCCTCTTTATTTAAGAAACTAGTTGTCAACCTTTGTCTTTAATATTTTCTCTACTCTATCATGCTAAGATCCGCAAGAAATCTACGCATAGCTCCATGACAATAAACACTTTAATTGAATCAACAAAACGCTTTAACTTCATGCGTGTCAATCATTTCCGTCCGCTTGCAAGTGTGTCTATGTCTGTGTATGCCAGTACATGCGTGAGTGCAATAAATGTGTTTATTGCCAAGTTTATTCAAAAGCGATATCACTCATATGTGAGTACACATAAATGTTATATCTATTCACATACATATGCATATGTCCCTACAGAGAAACCCCAAACTACATAGTGAACCAAATTTCTAGTTCCGTAGCAGATCTTTATGGCCCAAAACGAACCTGTCCGATAATAACTAGATGACCACCAGTTCAAAAGCAGCGAAATGTGATACTTTCAAAAAACTATTTTATTTTACTTTCTAGAAGTAAATATCGCTAGCTAAGATCAAAAATTTGCTGCTAATTCTACCTTTTCTAAAAAATTATATTTTAAGGCAAGAAGCAAGAACCATTTTCTAACAGATGGAACTACCTTTTTATCTTTCAACATTTCTGTTCAGTGATACGCAAATCTGCTAAGTCCAAAATAGGGACAGAATAGATTGAATAAAAAACGTTTCATTAGAAATTTATAACCGGCTCGGAACTATGGTAAAAGGGATGCATAACACAAGATCTCATCTGTCGAATGTAGAACTTGTTAACTATCGAAAAGGCGATGCAGCGGGGGCTTCTTAACTTTAGACAGATATTTGTTTGGCGGGTTTTCGTTAAAATATCCTGGAATTTATTTTTGCATCGTTAGGTTATTTAAAACAAAAATTTGTGTTAACATTTTAACATCTTGGGACCTACTAGAATCTTACCAATTAAAGACTCAGTTAAAAAATATAATGTTGTTTTTTTGTCTGTCGATTTTAGAGCTAAGGATGCAGAGCGAACTAGATCCCATCTGTGTCCAATTAAGGACTGGCTTCGAAATATAGAAAAGGTAATGCAGCGGGGTACAATTTCCATTTCCTAGGATATCGCTATGTTATTTAAATTCGCCAACTCTTTGTATGTAAAAGAGATTTATCGCGAGCCAGTGGTGGGTCTGAATGAACTAAAAGCGCACCAGTCCAGAACTAGAGATTTTCCTCAAAGGGCACACATACACACATACTTATAAATGTATGTGCATAAACATCCAAATGGCATACAACGGTAAAGCCTGTGTATAGCAGGCATAACAACAAGGATAATGGCATCATAAAAAGGATTTCATTGCGAGCATAAAGTATTAAGCTACTTTGCAGTATCTTTGCATTTCAAGAAAGGCGCACAGACGAATTTATGTGCTAGTGCGAGTATGTGAGAAGTGCAAGGATGCACAGAAATAAATAAGTACATACACATGTATGTAGAAAAGCAGTAGAGTGAAGGAGTAGAGTGTAAATGCATGGCGCTTATTTGTTTGTATTTTGGTGTAATCCAAAGAAAGACACTCAAACGCCAAAGTACATCGTAAGCGATTCATAGTAGTTTCTCGGTCTCGCAGTGAAAATATTGCAGGAAAACGAAAGTCTACTTTAAGGCGTAACAACTAAATAACAGTGCATTCGCTCTGCAGTTCTTCGAGTGCAGCTTGTGTGGAAATGTAGTTAGGGCGTATATTTAACTGCTGCAAGGATTTGAATATATTTGAATTTCTATGATCTACGATTCAACTTACGTTTCGTTTGGCATATCAAATATGTAGAAAAAGATTGACTACGGCAAATGATAATGTGAAATTGAGGTAGTAAGCAGCAATTCAAAATATTTATGATGCAGAATTTTAATGTTAGATGATACATTATATATGTAGGTGTGTGTGTGTATGATATTAAATATTTTTATTTAAAATCGAATTAAAATGGTTACAGTCGCGGCGTTTCAGCAGCAATAGATTTCTTACGATTTCAAAGAGTTGATTCAGTGAAATAATTAATTATTTGCCATTACGTTGAAAGAATATTTCTTTGAACAAAAGTGACATCAAATACGAAAAACTGACGATTTTTTGCTTGGACGTCAATTCTAAATCCTAACATCAAACAACATTTACTTATTGAGGGACCTATAGAAAAATTTGGCCAACATTTTTTAAAACATATTAAACGTACCAGCATTGAGGATCTAGAAATCGCGACGATTTTTTGTGATTTTTTGTGATTTTTAGTGATAGAAATATAGCGTAGCGATTTTCAGATTCCCTCTGCAGAACCTGTATTTTTGACTATTTTCCGAAAAAATTCCTGTTAAGGGATTAACATATTCCAAAAAAATTTAGGCAGCAAGTTTTACTAGGTGTTACCGAAAAAAAATTTCCGCGGATTAAGCGGGAAGAGTAAACTTATAAAAAAATATAAAATTTTTCACCAAAAGGAGCAATATTTTTTACCCCCCAAAAAAACAAGGAGCAAAGTCCAATTTTCGACTTTGGTTTGTATTAGAGGGCTGCATGAATCATTCAAACTTCTAGCCAAAAAGAGTACAATAGATTTGAATATTTTACATATGTGCATAGAAAAAATTGTTTTGGATATTCATACAAAAAATGTTCATTTATTTCTCTTCAATTTATTTTCACTTTTTTCGAATATTGTAATGTCGATACATATGTATATCAGAACAGGTACTCACTCAAATTGAAAAAAATTGAAGGCAAACCATTCATTCTTTTTTTATATGAGTAATTCACAAGCCGTTTTGAATGAGTTCATGCAGCCCTCTAGTTTGTATCCAACTTTTATTGGTGTGTCCAAGGGTTCTTTGCTGCAGGAGGGAAAATTATCTACAAAGAATTTTATCCAACGCACAGAAAGGCTCGATGGAGAGTCCCCACCGGCTTTAGTGTAGAGCGATCTAGGGATACGGTTGCCAGCCGTACTGATTTTGGGAAGGACAGTACTGAAATTTCATTCGCTGTACTGAAAATTTTCAATTCCCAAGTCAGCAAACAAATATCCTTACTTTTCGGAAATGTGTGCTGATTTTTACTGATTTTTCAATCTCAAGACAAGATAGAAACAATAACATGATAGACAATTTTACATTAAGGGTACTCATCTAAATACATATACGCGCAAGTTTCATGTTTGGGCAAGTGGGCAACTTTGCGCAGTCTGTTTCATGAGGACAATTTTATATATGCAATTTCTGAAAATTATTTGAAAAGCCTTAATTTAAAAAGTTGAACAACTTAAACTCAAATTTGGGTAAATATTCAAATCTTACCTCAGTCATTTCGGAAAAATGTTGAACACAAATCAAAATGAAGGTAAACAAAATAGCTGATTGAGGGTTGCACAGCACACTGCGCAAATTTGCGCGACAAAAGGTAACAAACAATGACTATAAAGGTGATAAATAGATTTTAAATTAAAGATTGCACTTTGAAATAAAGCATTTTTTTGTAAGCATTAGCATATAACACATAGCATTCTCTATCTTCCTTGTCATGAACTCTAAGGTCTGTGAGACCCCTTGTCCCCAGTTAAAGATTAACGTTATCTCGAATCGAAACCCCAGCTGGAAAACCATTTAAAATGCCCTTGCTATATGTTTTTATATTTTATTGTATTTTATTTTATTTTATTTTATTTTATTTAATTTAATTTAATTTAATTTAATTTAATTTAATTTAATTTAATTTAATTTAATTTAATTTAATTTAATTTAATTTAATTTAATTTAATTTAATTTAATTTAATTTTATTTCATTTCATTTCATTTCATTTTATTTTATTTTATTTTTTATTGTTTCTCCGTTACGGGTTCACATCAAGTATTGGTTGGTATACAACAAAATACTTAACACTATTGATTATAAAGTAGTATAAGAGAAATATAATCTTCAGATTGGTTACAAACGGATATTGACAATACTACACAGTTGCAAGCTTTTCTGTTTCTTAATGCTAATTTATATTCAGAAATTTACGAACTATCGATGATGTAGATAATATCACAGATTTTTGTATGGCCCTTCGCTTTTCTACCATGTTGAGTTTTTCCAGGCTAGTGTTCAATGATTTTGGAATAACTCCTGTTGTCGAAATTATAACTGGAATCACCTCTACTTTTTCTAATTTCCACAAATCCTTGATCTCGTATGCTAAGCTCTGGTATTTTCTGTATTTCTCCATATAACAATCTTGAAGATTGTGAGTATTTGGTACGCCTATATCTATGAGGAACGCTTGATTCACTTCTTTTTCGACCACTATTATGTCCGGCCTATTGTGTGGCATTGGACGGTCCGTCAAAACTGATCGGTCCCAATATAGCTTGCTCGTTCTGTTTTCAATTACAGCGTCTGGAGTATATTTAAAGTACGGCAGCTCTTCCGTTACTAGCTTATGTTGTATCGCTAGACTCTGGTGTACAATTTTTGCCACCTGGTTATGTCTGGTTAAGTATTCGGTGGCTGCTAACGTGACACAAGCTCCTGTGATGTGGTGGATGGTTTCTGTTTGCTTTTGGCATCGTCTGCATAGGTCGTTTTCAACGGAAGCACGCATAATATATTTCGAGTAGTTTCTAGTCGCAATAACTTGATCTTGTATAGCGATCATAAAACCTTCAGTTTCGGCGTAGATGCCGGAGTGAATTAACCATTCGTTGGAAGCAGCGTTATCTACTTCAGGAGCGTCTAGAGCATGTGGATATCTGCCATGAACCGCTTTCATTTTCCAGTCTTGCATGAGCGACTGGATATGTTGCGTTCCTGATATTAATTCGATTGCAGAAAATTCACTAAGATTTAATGGTGAATATTTTAAATCGGCTTTGCACACGGTTTGGAGTAGGCTGTTCTCTTGGTTGTGGAAGTATAAACGAAGGCTTTGTTTACACTTATTATGTAATTGCTTAATGTCTACCATCCCTCGACCTCCCTGTCGACGTGGCAAGTAGAGACGTTCTACTGCCGATTTTGGGTGATGCGTGCCATACTTTGTCAACAATGTCCTTGTTGCTCTCTTGACGTTTTCCAGTTCTGTTTCGGACCATTTTACTACACCAAAGGTGTATGTTAAAACCGGTATCGCAAATGCATTAATGGCTTTAAAAAGGTTATTCCCATTCAAGCATGATTTCAGCAAGCTCTTTACTCTTTGGAGGTATTCACTAGTTATGGCTGAAACTATTTCACTGTGCTGCATCCTCCTAGCCTGTAAAATACCAAGGTATTTATATGTGTCGTCTTCTGTCATCGAGTCTACAGTTTCATGAGTCATTAATTCAAATTCTCGCCTTATAAGTTTTCCATTTTCCACACTTAATCTTCGACATTTTTCTACTCCAAACGACATTTTTATATCATTTGAAAAATCTTCTGTTTGTTCCAGTAGCGTATTCATTTGACGTTCATTTGCAGCATATAGCTTTATGTCATCCACGTACAGTAGGTGTGAAAGTCTATATTGCGATACACGCGGTGCTTTTAAACTAAAGCCGTAGTTTGACGCATTTAGTATCGAAGAAAGTGGATTTAGCGCCAGACAAAACCATATCGGACTCAAGCTATCTCCTTGGAAAATACCTCTTTTAATAGGTATGGGAGCGGTTTTTATGAGTCCGTTGTTATGAAATAGTTTTAAAGTAACTTTCCATGAGTTCATAAGTTGCTGCATAAGACGTTTTATGTTCGGCGATATTTTATAAATGTCTAAAACCTCCAAAAGCCAAGAATGCGGAACAGTGTCAAAGGCTTTTTTGAAGTCGATATAAGATGTATAAATATTTCTTTGATTATGGTATGCTTGCTCCATTATGACTGTATCAATTATCAGCTGCTCTTTGCAGCCTTTGCTGTTTTTAACACATCCTTTTTGTTCGATGGCTAGAATGTTGTGCGTATCAAGATGAGTACATATTTTTTCGGCTAAACAAGATGTAAGAATTTTATATAGGGTACATAGGCACGTGATGGGGCGATACTTAGAAGGGTTCTTCGTATCTTTTGGGTCCTTTGGTAGCAGATATGTACATCCCTTCATTAAGAAGTTCGGTACTTGGGATTCATGTTTGAGGAATTTTGTAAAGTGTTGAGCTACCATACTGTGTGTGCATGTAAACTTTTTTAACCAATAATTATAAATACCATCTGGCCCTGCAGCCCGCCAATTTTGAGTGCTCTCTACAGCTTTTTTGATATCGGCCTCACTGAAAGTCGCGTCTTCCATAGCTTTTATAGATTCCGTTCTCTTGTACTCATCGTGGATCCACGCTGAATCGGTTGCATGTTTCGTGCTGGTTGACCATATAGACTTCCAGAAGCTTTCGATTTGCTCGGCGCTAGGTACTTCGGTTATATCTTCAGTCTTGTTGCGTTTAAGGTTTCTATAAAACCCTCTTTCATTTCGCTGAAATGATATGTTTTGTGTTCTTCTCTTTTCTGATAGAGTATACCTACGCAAACGGTTTGACTTAACAGCTAGTTTTTGGCGGATAGTATCTAGGTATTGTTCAGCTGTTTCATTCGACGGATCATGTTTGGAGTGCTTTTTATTTTCGAGTTTAAAAGTTTCATACCAGTTACGCATCTTTTTCGTCCGGTTTCCGTTCATGTACTGTATTAGCCGACCAATTGTAGCACGTAGCTCTTTTATTTGAGACGCCAGTCTGTGTTTCCATGGCGGATCGACTGACTTCTTTTTGGGAGGTATTCTACGGCTAACAGTTTTCCCTCCAGTGAAACGAATAACGGCTGTTGCAGCCACATATATTGCAGTCTGCAGTTCTTCAAACGTGTAATTATTATTTAAAATAAAAGTAGGCAATATTTCTTTGTTCATAATAGAAGTCGCTATAGCCAAACTTTTTGTAGCTTTTTGTTTGGGAAGAAATGGGCGTAGTAATGGATCAGTACCATTGAACTCTATCATTGCAGCATTGAATTCATTTCTTAGTATCGTCAAGTTTTCATTTTCGTCAACATTTGTTAATGCGTTTATCGCTTGGTGTTCGTCATGTTGATAAATATCGTTAACAGGCGTCATACAATCATCATTTTGTTGAGTTCTACCGATTTCAATTTCGGTAGATAGCTGGTTTTCTACTTCATTCTTTAATTCGTTGAGTCTTCGGGCTGATAGATACTTATTTCTAATTATTGCACTCCGTTGATCCCCTATCCTTTGTACTGATACATTCATGTTAGGGTATGCTTGCTTAAATAGTTCGTGCAGTCGTGTCCTATATCCGCTTTTGTTGGTTTCGTTTCTGGTAACAAAATAGTAGCTCCGCATGATGTGCTCATTCATTTCTTTGGTCCATTTCATGCGTTGCCCTGGAGATACCGCCCTTGTGGTCACCAATTGACTTGGTGAAACACTCAGGAGCGGTTGCAAAATCATATTCATATCCGGTTCGTCATCCGGTTGATCAGGCTGTAGTGTCCCGCATCGCCCCTGACCATTGCGATGCTCGTCCGAGGCTTCCCTTAATATATTAGGAACCATAAAGACACTTGTGCGGGTGGTTAGCCCTTACAAGGTTGGCTGTGACATGCGTGTTTGCCAAGCACGTAAAGGGATTACCCTTTTCACTGCATTTTATTTTATTTTATTTTATTTTATTTTATTTTATTTTATTT